TTGTATGTCCATTTAAAGGTCAGTCAGGGCAGCCAGACAACTCCCTGAGTTTTATCTGTATTCAAAGGTTCCGTTACACAAAGAATTCTTTGTTCTTCTTGTAGATTAAAGGTTGTGTCTGGATGGAAACAATTGCTTTCATATAGCTCAATCTGTGGCGTTACAGACTGAAGCCATCAGCAGAGATGATCTTTTCAGACAAAAGACTTCTTTTGATCCGAGGCGTTAATTACCTTTTTGTTTGTATGAGGGTTACACAATGGACACAATGCAAAACTTTAAAAACTTCTCTCCATTCCTGAGTCAATGCGCCCCTTTGCAGAGATGGATAATGGCTGGGACTGGGATGTTTTGTGCTTATCATTTTGATTCTGGCAACCAGAACTTGAATACGTATTTCCAGAGCACAACTGGTATCTAACAATCTGATGTTGGCTCTTAAAAGCAAGAACAAACCCACGCCTGGAGTTTTCATCTAGGCATTTTAAATACATTTTCCAGTCATCTTCATGGCTGTTTACAAATAGCATTCTCCTTATTCAGACTTCTGAAAGCAAATCTTTTTCACATGAGTAAAATACCCTAAAGGCACCAGCTCCTGTCTAATCTTGGAAGCTGAGCAGGGCCAGCTCTGGTTCGTACTTGGATGTGAGACCACCAGCGAATACAAGGTGCTGTAGGCTATGTTTCAGAGGAAGGCAATGTCAAACCACCTTTTGAGTATTCCTTGCCTTAAAGCACTCTGTGAAATGTATGGGGGTCATCATAAGTCAATAGGCAACTTGAAGGCACATACACACACACACAAGAGGCAGACAGAGGTGGGTAAGTAGACATGATCTCCCTTGACCAGGGATAGGGAGTTGCGTTTCTCCATAATTGACAAAAACACGATGTAGCGCTTCCTGAGAATATGCTTCCTTGGTTATAGCAGTAAAAACAGCACAACACACTAATCTTCTTCCTACAATATTGGAGACGTCTCCTGGTATTGTTCATTAAAGGTTCATTTTACAGCTTTCATAATCTAAGAGTATTTGAATTCAAAGACATAGCTGTGTTAGTCTGGAAAATCAGTATGCAAAAGGATTTTGTGGCACCTTTGAGACCAATTGAAAGAAAGAAGTTGATAGCATGAGCTTTTGTAGATTTGAGACTTCTCAAGATTTCAGCCTACTCAAGGTGGTTATCTGGTCACTTCTTGGTTTTCTCTTCTCCAAACTGAATGTAGACTCAAGCCTATGAAAGCTCATGCTACTAACTTCTTTATTTCAGTTAGTTAGGGCCTTTGCAGACTGCCAGAAATAGTGCAAATTGAGTCCACTTTAAGGGTTAGGGTTAATGCTAGGGAATCATGGGAACTGTTTGTTTTTTTCTGAGACATTGAGCCTTCTCTGTCTGAGAGCTCTGATGCCACAATAAACTACAGTTCCCATGATTCCCTAACCCTAACCCTTAAAGTGGACTCAATTTGCACTATTTCTAGCAGTCTGCAAAGGCCCTTAGTCTCAAAGGTGATGGAAGATCCCTTTGCATAGAGTTTTTTGAAATGCCTCGTGGTATTTTTCCTTTTCTTGAAAAAGTCAGATAAATAGGTTGGACTCCCCCTAAAAGCCAAAATGACTAAACTTTGGCAATTCTACTTTGGATATGGCATGATTCATTAGAAGATAGTGCTGGAGAAAGTGTAAGGCAGTCGGAAAAGAGGAAGACCGCACAGCAAGGGGATTGACTCCATCAAGGAAGACCTGAGCAGGGCTCTTGAGAAGAGGGTCTCTTGGAGGTCTCTCATTAAGAGGGTTGCCTCGAGACAAAGCGGACTTGATGGCAAACAACAGCAACAAGCCCTTGAACAGCAAAAAGGATTCTCAGTCCATTTTCTATGTGACATCCCTTGAGTCATTTAAAGATGGCTGTCATGTCACCCCTCTGTCTTCTCTCCTCCAAGCCAGACGTACTCCTCTCCCTAAGCCATTCCCCATAGGGCTTGGTGGTTTCTAGACCTTTTCATAACATCATAGAGTTGGCAGTCCCCCCTTCCCTTCTGGGTCTATAATTAGGATGACTTCTATCCCAAAATATTCCTTTAATTTCAGTGGAGAAAGCTGTTCCTCAGTGGCTGCCATGGAGTTGTGGTGCTTTAAAAAAAATGACTTATGGAACAGAAGAAGACGACCAAGACAGAAATTGGCATTCTCTGTGTTTGAGGTTTAATTTAGGATTTCTGTATATAAATAAGAGTTATGAAGAACGGGCATTTTGGAATTTGCTTGTTCATCCCTGCCTCCTCTCAGTCGAAGCTCTGCTCTTTTCTTGCCGGCAAGATTTAAAGCCCCACAGATTATTTTATATGATTTGCCAGGAAAACAGAAGAGTCTGGCAGTAATTGGGCAGTTAGAAGGGAAGAGCAAAAAGGCAGAACGATCTCTTTGCTGGAGATGGTGGAAGCTTTTGGATGGATCTTTTGTAAAGGGAGAAATGTGTGCGATATCCCCACCATGGCGGAGCTGAAGGTCTTATGTAGGAGGCCAGGGCTCCCAAGAATTGATGGGACAATACTTCAGCTTTGTTGGCTTCAGCTGGGAAACCTCCTGTGTCTTTACAGGGCTGCATTATGGGAACTTTTAGCCTTTTCCACTGCAGTATCTCCATGATGGGAAAAGGCTGCATCTGTTGGATTGCTACCATACAGCAGCTCTGCCACAAATTCTGTGCAGCCTGTTCCCTGGTGAGTTTGTGGCGAGTGAAGGAAAGTGGTGTAAAGTGGATGTGTTGTTGTTGTGTGCCTTCAAAATGTTTCCAACTTATGGAGCCCCTAAGTTGACCCCATCATGGAGTTTTCTTGTCAAGATTTGATCAGAGAAGGTTTGCCATTGCCATCCCCTAAGGCTGAGAGCATGTGACTTTCCCAAGGTCATCCAGTGGGTTTCATGGCCAAGTGGAGAATTGAAACCTGGTTTCCAGAGTCGTAGTCTATCACTCAAACCATTATGCCATATTGGGTGGATAGCTCAATGAAAACATTGTCCCAGTATGTGGCCAGAGCCATAATTGTTGTTGTTGCTGTTGCTGTTGTGTGCCTTCAAGTCATTTTTGACTTATGGTGATCCTAAGGCTAACCTATCATAGGATTTTCTTGACATGATTTGACCAGAGGGGGTTTGCCATTGCCTTCCCCTGAGGCTGAGAGCATGTGACGTGCCCAAGGTCACCCAGTGGATTTCATGGTTGAGCTGGGGATCAAACCCTGGTCTCCAGAATCATAGCCCAATAGTCAAAACACTATGGCACTGTTAGTGGATAACTCAGTGAAAATATTGCCACAGTATGTGGCCAGCGTCATAAATTGTTGTTGCTGTTGCCTTCAAGTCATTTCCAATTTATAGTAACCCTAGATTGACCCTTATGATGGGGCTTTTTGGAGCTTATCCAAGCTCACCCATTGGGTTTCCATGGCCAAGTGGGGAATCCAGAGTTGTAGTCCAATACCGCAACCACTACACCATGCTAGCTCTCATAATGGTCATAATGCTTCCATGCAAATGGGTTGTGTGACCACAATTAGAATAATACAGAGTTGGAAGGGAAGCCAAGGGCCATCCCACCCTCCCATGCATGTTGTTGTTGTTGTTGTTAGCTGTCCTCGAGTCGGTTCTGACTCCTGGTGACCATGTGGATGCAAATCTCCAAGAAGAGTCCCTATCCTCCACTGCAGTCTTGCCCAGGTCCTGCAAGCCCTTTCCCATAACGACCGCCCTGATGGAGTCTATCCATCTGGTTTGTGGTCTTCCTCTCTTTCTTCTACCCTCCACATTTCCTGGCATTATTGTTTTTTCTTCTCATGATGTGGCCAAAGTACGATAGTCTCAACTTGACCAT